CCCCCCCCCCCCTGAGCTTTAGAAACAAAGTTGTTAGCCACCAACTTTTTGATAGGTCGTCCCTGGACTGCACCTGGGTACCATCCTTGATATTAAACCCTCAGTAGTTTCATCATCAAGACCACCACCAGCCGTAAAGCAAACACCTAATGAGCAGGTTTTTGCAAATCAAAACAAATTCATATTGCATAATTGCACAGGGAACTTACTTTCTCAAAAGAATCCTTTGCATTGGAAAAGTATTTCCTGACTCTGGATTTTGCAGCACTTCTCATGGCATGTTCTTTGGTGTTGAAGGATTGGCTAAGACCATTAAACCAGGCCTCATCTTCACTACGTTCCTCTGCCTCGATATTATCATCGAGACGATTGACAAGTTCCAACATGACAGTATACATTTCATTTGACTTAGAACCGTGCATAACATCATAAATCTGTTCAATGATCTCATTTCGCTGAGACGTAGCTCTGAAAATCTTCTCAGTAGCATTCTTCAGAACAGTCACATCTGAAAATGCAATTAAAGACCATATGGTACAAGGTTCAGCATTGTGTTTCAGAAAACTACTTTCGTATGTATAATTTTAAATGCTTGCCCATGTTTAGGAACTTAATTAAGATGGTTTCATACAAGGTTCCTCTACATCTGATTTTTTTTTCACAATTACAGCACCATCATTGAGAGAATTCTTTGGATTCTATCTTACCTAAATTTTATTTAGGTAGTCATTCATTTTACTAAAAAAAGATAATTTTCATAATGACATTGATAAAAATATTAACACCCAGTAGTAATGATAATAACAGTGATGATGATGATGCCATTTTCACTTTTTTACTTTGCAATATACATACAGAGTTAAATATTGATTTAAAAGTGGAGAGTTTCAGGCATTAAGTATCAAACTGTAGTTTTTCTGCGGGAACAGAATTCAAGAGTAAAGTTTTAAAAATCAATTATATGTATACAAATGAGAGAGAGTGAGCAGAAACACTAAATTTCTGAGTACTTTTTTATGCCTGGAGACATATACAGTTTAGGAGTTGACCTTCAGATTATTAAATCTTATACAGAAAAAGAATGAGAAAACAGACATAATAATATTCAGAATGAGGATTAAAGCAAGACACTTGAATCTCCCATTTTGAAACCAAGTAAAAAATCAGTTAATCTCTTGTAAGTTTCTATTGTTTACACACAAGTAAGAGAAAAGGAAAATATTTTTTTTTTCAGAGCTGTTACAATAAAAGTAGGACCTAATGCACCAGCAGTATGGTATCATAAAAACAGAATAATTCTTATAAAAACAATCATTAGAGGTGCAATCCTTAAATAAGTTTTTCAGATGTTCTGACCAGCATTAAGGCCATCTTTTACATTAACATATTTGCATGTAAACAAGAAGACAAACTTAGTATGCACTGCAAGGGTTATTTTCAATATCAGCACCATGGTAGTATTCAAGTATGGGCTTAGTGTAAATGGGCAGATCTATCCATCTTCTACTGTATTTCTTTACTCAATTCAACCAACAAAGAAAGGCAATTCAAATATTGAACAGTGGGGTCGGTTAAATCTCTCACGGGGGGGGGAAGGAGTCTCTCAAAAAAATTTAAGCAAGAATGAAAAATACCTTTAAATTTCGATTATCGAGTGATACGATTTCTTAGCATAGGGGTGCCCAGTCGAACAAATGGAACAAATCGAATTGAACTCACAGGAATTAGGCACCATTGTCGAACATTTGATGAGACACCCCTGGTGAATTAATAATTATTAGCTTTCTCGGTAAAGGAAGGTCAAAGACTCAAACCTTTCACTTACATCCTTCCCATGTTTCATTGGGTTGCACAAATACAAAGACTGTTTGATGTGGTAGAGTGATAAAGTAATCTTCATCGTCTACTATGGTTCCGTCCTCCAAACACACTCTACAATCCCCAGCTATAGCGAGTCTTTTCTTGCCTTTCTTCTTCAGATCGTTAAAATTGTTAGCTACAATCCCTATGCGTTTCGTTCTGTTGACATCTTGGATCTTATAAGCTTTTCGAGTTACCATACCACTGTCTTTCTCGGGGAGCTGAACTACCGATGGCTACCGCAGTTGAAAGTGTAAGCTGATGTTGTACCCAGTCTCTTACCTCTTTCGTCCACAGGTGATCACCGCTCCTACTTAGTCCCTCTAATGACTACGTCCTTTATAGCGACAACTTTGTGAATGTTTTTTTGTTTTTTTGTTTTTTCATCATTTTGTTCAGATTTTTTTGTTATGATCGTGAATGACGCTATTCAAATTTGTTAAGCGACCGTGGCCACCTTTTGAGTTGTTTTAAGATCCTCACGAAATGTTTTGTAGTTGCCACCTAATTAAATAGGGTTCATTATTTTTGATACAAAAGTAAGTGCACAGCACTCCATATGTAACGCTCTTGTTCATACCACAAAATCTTACAAATTTTTGTGAAAAGAAAAACTTCGTGGCTGGTGTGACACCGCGTTTCGCCTCCAACATAAGACTTATCTGATACCTTTCCGTATCTCAGTTGGGTAAAGAGGTTCCAAGCGACCAAATAACAAGGTACGTATTACTAGCAGCAAACGCACCTCGAAAACCAAGGATGGATAAGCTGTAGAAGTGAAGTATACTACATTTTCGGATTAATTATAAGTTTTCCTCAAAAGAAATTCGGTTGTTTGTTACATTTTGACGGTTTGATTGTATAAAAATTTAATGAAGGGAGTTGGCTCCGGCCAGGTCCAGATATTCATTTACCGTCGATGGAGGGATTGTTCGTAGTCTGATCAAACGCTTAATTAGTCATTGCTGTATATTTCCGTAGTTCCTGTAGTTCTTTTTATTCATCTTCCTGTCAGTTCCCGCCGACGCTGTCCCTGCAGATCATTCGACAAAATAATCTATGTAAACAACCCCTCAGCTCCGATTCACATACTTGATCGTTCACTACAAATCGTCAATTAAGAAAATTCAATCTTCACTGGACTACAGCGTTTGGATTTCCAAGCATGAAATCAGAAGTAATGCATTATTTGATTGTGTAGTGTGCTCGTCCGTTTGAGAGTAAACCTGAAAAGGGCTATCGTCGGCAGTAGCGACTGAGTTTTTGACAACCTTAACGGAAATCATTATGAGAGTCGACTCTAGCTCTCAATGGTGAAAAAAGTCGCATACACAACATTAAGGCTGCTCTCGTGCCCGGCAGTATGCTGCAGCAGAGCTTATTCCGACTGATAAATCGAGGGGTAAGTTTCTTAACAAAATGTGGTCCTGCTCCGGTGGACGTATTACAAAAAATTTTGTTCTATCAACTGCGTTGATAAAGTCAATTGGCCACCGTAAAAAGTCTGACGCTGACGTTCCGGGTAAATCAACCCGGAACTTTTAACTGCGTGCACGCACGATGCAAAACTTGTCCTTTCATTCACAACTGATTCGAAACTTCAGCTTTAGAAACTCTTTACAGAGGTTGATTTTACAATATCGACTCAGTCGACAAAACCAAATTATCAAAGCCTATTCTGGTTTCCTTGGCGACAAGCGACCGGGTTGCTTCGTTTATAGGGTGTTTACCATATTTGAAGGGAAAAGCCAGCGCTCTGGGAGTGAGGTTGGCGAGTGTTATTTTTGTAGAGTATTATCACTCCCACCTGAAATGTTAGTACATGGTAGGTTAGCCGTCCCCTACCAGCCTTTCGCTAAGTTCCCCAACACTTCACAGGACACCTATTGCTACTCCTAGGCTAAGAGAGGTAGTATGAGAGAGTGTTTAGCCCAAGAAAACCACATAATATGTCTAGACAGCAAACCATCAGGCCGCTGCTTCTCCCACGCTATCGTCATCATTCGCTAAACAAATGTTACTATTGGTTTCTTGGAATGAAGGGGTATAACTAGATTTTTTTTCAAGTGGATTATAAGGTTACCAGTCGTTTCGTACCCACAGACGTTCCGTTCGTAGTCGATCCGTACCCAGCTAGGATTATTCGTTCCCAGTCAGTTTAGACGTCACTAATAAAGTAAGTTTTCCCTGTTAAGTTTGTTTAAAGTACGGTTCGTTTCTTAAGTTAAGTGGCAATATGATTTGCTTTCAATAAGTTTTGTTTATGTGGTATCCATTTTGAGTACGCGACAACGGAATTGATAGGCATGGAACCGAAATTGCAGGGTCTGCAATTGGTCTGGTCTTGTTATTGTACTGAAGTATACTTGTGACCTTTTTAAGGACACAAGTACAAACAACATAACTTTACTTTATCTCACTCACTTCACTCCACTAACTTATCATTCGCCGCAATCGAAATCTGTTCACGTTCTCACACTTGAGGTATTTTCCCGGATCTCTTGGATTAAAATCGTTACAGAATGTTGGGACGGATACGAATCGACCAGCACGTCGGGCACGCACCGACACAAATTGGCACGAATCATCTAAATTTGGGTTGGAATCGGCTGGGTACGAACATTCCGTGGGTACGTAACGACTGGATATTGGTTGTAGAATCTAAAATTATTTGAACTGTGATTGGAGATTGAAAACTTAAGTTACAGCCAAGGAAGAGTTCCTAAGCTGCGACCACAAGGTACTTCTGCCCACCAGTGCATTTGAAGTTTGTCGGAGACGAGACCACTGTCAAGAGAATAGAAAAGATGAGGTAGAATGCAAACAAATACCGACTGCAATTAGATAGTCTGTGAACGAGGTCGGTGGTCCCTTTGAACGCTCTCAGCGCAGGTACATTAAACATTAGTCCACGAGCGCAAGCTAGATATGAGGTGATAGAAATCCAACGATGCCCGTAAGGCCGAGCTGGCTTTAATCATCTTATATCCAATATCCAATATTAAAAGAAAAAAAAAAGGAACGCCCCAGAGTATAGATTAATCTTTCTAACTTTATTTGCAAGAACAAATGGAATGATGTAATGTACGAAAAGACTTCCGGTTTAACTTGTCTTCATGCGCACTCATGGTATAGTGGCTCATAACCCATGATGGCTAAGTCAATGAAAACTCTTGAATTGCATTAACCAATGATCCAGTTTTTAATACAGATATATATTTAATGGTAAAAACCAATTCAACACCTACTTATTGCTTTTATTCAATATTAGAATTAGTCTTAGACATCTCAAGAAATAGTGCTATATAATCTCACCGTTTAAGCATACACTAAAACAACTATTTACCTCGGTGTTGGAGGTTAACGGTAGATATATACCTTTCTTTCTCCCAGATCGGTAAATATCCACCCTTGACATTGAGGTGAATACTAGTTGTCAATTATCGACAGCCACATTCTTCAACAATCATCTCCTTATAGAACTCCATTATGAAGTTCTTTTCACGGTACTCGATAGTGCTCAGTCCTCTGAGCTTTATTGGAACGCAGCATGGCTCGCCACTCCCTTGATCGTGTTTCGAAGAATATAGTATAGATCGTATGACTGCATAATTAGTTGGACTGACCTGAAAGAAAACCCAAAATTGTCTTTCTGCTTTAAAATCTTGTCCAATAACCATTTTGAATTAATTTCGTTAAATTTGTTTTATATATCATTTGGACTTGGGCACATGAGCAATTAATTCTTGTTTTCTACCGGCTCCGTATAATTGCCTTTTCAGCACACTAAAAATTGAGTTCCAAATGTCCCTCCGAGTAGATGTTAAACCCAGTTGAAAGATCTACATTTGAGGCGAAAAGGATAGTCGGGAAATATAACGCGCCCAACAAAGAGCCAAGAAATATGGTGGTAATGGCCTGGCCTTGAAAAGTAACACCTGCTTAGACACTAATAAGCTACACAAAGCCATGAGGCTTTCCAAGTTTCAAATACTGTAAGGAGCTGTTTCTAAAGCTTTGCAACCCTTTCCAAGGTTAAGGTATTCAGCACACTTAATTATACCCTCGGACCGTGAGAAATAGGTGTATCCATCCATACCTCTGATGCACATTTAAAATATATATAAACATTACCAAATGAAGCTTATCAAAAGCATATCATTGTAGACTTATTTGTTTATAAGATTTGCTTCCTCAAACAATCTCGGCTCCATTTTTTACAAAACAAATCTATATTATTAGATTTAAAAGAAATATACTTTTCAGTGTGACATTTAGTTAACAAAATTCTTCTGAAGTGGCTCAGTTATGGTTTTGTTTCTTTGTGCTGGCAAGTCTACAAGTACGTTTTTCCTAAGATAAGAATAAATTCAACAAATCTATCTCCTCCTTTAAGAACCTTTGAAGTTTTCTAGATCAAGGATAACCTTGAAGTTGGGCATATTTGAGCGCAGTTTCAAAGGAACTGATTGCCTTAGACCTGTCCATACTAAGAAGTAGTTGTTCTTCATTCCTGCATCTCTGACGACATCAAAAAACTCAATACTTGGGATGTCATAAAGCGTACCAGTAGTGTGTATTGTTACCGAAGAAATTTTTATAAAAAGCACTTTTACTGTCCATTTTTATCTCTTTGTTGTTCCACAGAATATGTTTTTATACATTATCGGGATCACAACTTCTCTTACGTTTGACCACCATTTTAATAGTTCATGATAAACGGTCGCTGAAATTGGTATTAGGTGGATACCGTAGTCATACTGAATTGAAAATCATCCCGCTCCATTCTGGAGAAGGTTTCCGAGGTATGACCTCCAGAAACTGGAAAAGTCTGGGTCAACTATTCGCTTTAACCAGCTTAGTCTTTTAGTGTCAATCATAGTGTCATAGTCTGTCATTTTAAGGCCACCTTGGTTATGTTCTGAGGTGCATATGTTAAAAGTCAGTTAATCTTGTCTTCCCCGTTCCTCAAAAGCTAAAAAACCCAGGCTTTTAAACTCTTCTATGACTTCTGGTGGAGTGCATATTATTAAGAGTGAAAATTTACTGCAACACTCGTATTCTCTCTTCTACACTAGTTATCAGAACGGGGACTAGCTCTGATCTCTCGAGGAAAGTGAGGGTCACCGTTTATAAAGGTGACACTTACAGAACTGTCAATCTCTATCCTTCGTCATACTTTTACACTTAACTAGCGAATCACTTTGGGCTACGCAAAACGGAGTTCGCATACTAAGTAGATACCTTCGCGATGTTTATGCTTTACGAAATGTCTTTCTAACTTAAATTTCTTGGTCTTTCAGTCAAGCTTGAGCAAAAACTTACGTAATTACGTAATGTTTACCTTGCCGTGTATTGATAACCCTCTGGATTTCCATAGATTTGTGTTATTTGGAATTTTTTCTCAACCTCTGTTTGAAGTTTTTCTTTAAAAATAGCTGTACGTCGTATGTGATAAAAATCTCTAAAAATTTAACACATTTTTCCCCTTAACACAAGTGGTTCACTTTCAGACTGAAGGGACTCAATCCACATTGCCTGTGTTTTCTTTACGTTAAGTTTAAGTCCTGAGGCTTTCTCACAAAGTTCAAGTAATATAAACAAGGTTCGTGCAGAATCTAAATCTGATAGGACAGCAGTTGTGTCGTCAGCAAACTGCACCAATTTAGTTTCTAAACCGTCTATAGTTATTCCTTAATGTTTTCTTGATTTCTAGTAACTGTCGACTTGTCAATTAACCAGTGTACAAACTCTGTTCTGACAAAGTCTTCGTCTTGTCACAATTTTGCATCGACAAGAGCTGTTCATTAGCCCCTCTAAACATTACACCAACATTGCTTTTGCTGCAATACTCTTCAGTTATACAACAACAAGCACAAGCAGTCAGAAACTCCCTTTTATTACTAGACAGAGTTGACCAAGTTGTACCTTCCCCCTTGAAAGGATCTGCTAACAAAAAATTGTCACAACGATAGGATGAGGGTCATCATTTGAATGGCAGTCAGCCGGACCAGAGATCATCTCTTCACAGAATCCAAATAACTTTGAAATCAAACCATGCTTATTGAGCAATGACATTAAGGTAAAAATCTCCGACTACTCTGTTTAGCAGATATTTAATAGACGAGCCTCAGAGAATCCATTGCAGAAGCCAAAATTTTCATTCGGGCTCCGAGTCGGCCAGACGTAGTTTGACCTTCAGACTAAGAAGAATATCGAATTGCCGAGGTATGACGCAGACTTTAAGAACAAGAACTAAGTGGATCCCGGCTCGCCAACCTTCTATACTGTATACTTATTATCTTCTGCAGCATTAGGTTTACTGATAAATACGACTTTAATCAGAGATCCTAGCTACCTGATAACTGTTAATTGGCAAAAAATTGGAAAGAAGAAATTTTCTCTTCATCTTCAGCCAAAAATTAAAGATTTTGATCCACTAAATGAAAATATATAAATGGAACGGCATTTAAAGGTAGACATTCCACGGGATGGCCCTTCTTTTCCACTGTTTCTAGATCGAACTAAAATTTAGAATGTTGGTTTTTGTGGTGGGGGGAAAACCGGAGGACCCGGAGTAAAACCTTTAGAGCAAGGACAATAACCACCAACAAAGTCAACCCACACGTGACACTACGACCAGGAAACGAACCCGGACCACAACAATGGGAGGCAAGTGTTCTCACCACTGTGCCATCCCTGCGACCTTAAGCAGTTGCCCTTTGTCAGTATCATTTTTCAAGCATGAAGCGTATTCTCCCATCATCCATTATGGATGTGATATAATTATTCATATATGGTCAAAATTTCCGGCTAATAATCCAGAACTGAGACTAAAAAGTAAGAAAACCATACTGAGTTGGTAAACTTACTTTAATATCCAGCGGAAATTTACAGTCTCCACCACACCTGTAGGCATCATAAAACTTAGGAAGAATGACGTCTTTCCAGAGACCATTCCTGCCCATTGGAATCCGCATAGGACGTTTAGAACAAGGCCCCTTGTCACGAGTTTCGCGAGCATGTCTGGTCTTTCGCTTAACTTCACCCAGTGTCCTGTACCTGTAACGCCATGTAAGACCAAGGAAAATAATGGTGAGGTGTTACTCTCCCTATCCTTACCGTCACGATATACTAAAAATTGTCGAAAAATGTCCTGAAAGGCTTTAAAGTAGAACATGAGGGGGGGGGGGGGGGG